TATGCGCTGCTTGTGTGTGATTCTACTGAAGGATTATGCTTATGTTGATGGGTGATACGTCATCGCGCGTCGCGGCACGGGGAACGTGGAATACGCAAGCTGGTTATCCGCCGCTTGCAGACGTGCCGCTTCGGATACCGCTGCAAGATGAAGGTGACATTCTGCATGGAGTGACGAGTATTTATACCTACGTTTTTCAAAGAATTGTTTTCGCTTTTTGAAACTGATTGTCAACGACCTTTTTCGAACGCAACTCCGGACTTAGAGACCGTTCTAGCCTTCGCAGATGATTAAGTAGTTGTTTCGTGAGTACCACGTTGAAGCAAGCTCGTCCTACTAGTAGTGCTACCTTGTTACGAGGAACCACTTATAGAACACGCTCGTATTTTTCTTTCTTTCCTCTTCCCGTTGCTTCAGGCCTTTCTCCTCTCCCGCCGCTCCCGTCATCACGTTTCCAGCCGTCACCATCTCCCCGTTTCACGCCGTCGCCGTCGCTGGGTTCACCCCCGTCTCCATCGCCGCGTTTCTCGTATTCACGAACCGCGACGATAGGTTTTACAGACCCCAGTAGCAGCTTCTCTTGCTCACCGCCTACTCCGCTGTCGTCATCCGCGTCTCCCTCTCCTCATCCGCGTTTCTCTTACGCGCAAACCGCGAGTATAGGCCTCACGGACCCCAATAGCTTCTCTTGCTCGCCGCCTACTCCGCTATCGTCATCTGCGTCCTCGTCCCCTCAAGCCGCATCATATTATCAAGCTGTAGTTCCAAGCTTCATGCCTCCTCTGATGTCCCCCTCCCCTCCATCTCCGCATTTTGAGGCGCCTCAAAAGTCGTTATTATCGCAAGCCGCGTCCTCTTCTCCTCGAGTCGCTACATATTCTGAAGCTGCGTCCCCTTCTCCTCGACTCGCGACATATTCTCAAGCTGCAGTTGCGGGCTTCACATCCCCTCTAATGTCCCGCTCCCCTCCTTCGCCGCAATCCCCTCCCTACTGGCCGCAGCTGACCCGTAGCCCCGACCCGTTACAAGCTCCGTTTTCGAAATTATCCGATACGAGACCCCTTATAACGGGGCAACGGGACAAGAACGAGATACGAGCTACGGGCTCCTTAGGAGGGCCGGAAGGGGTAGGTGGGTCCGCGTGGGTCAAGAGTTTGCCGCAGCAGCAAGACTTTACAAAGAGTACTGGCCGTGGGTTGTTGGGTTTACAGTCCACGGTTTCCCAGCAGGTGCTACAGCTGCTGCAAGAGCAGCAGCAACGGCAACAGCAGCAGCAGCAACAGCCACAGCAGCAGCAACAACTACAGGAACAGCAGCAACAGCAGCTGCAGCAACTACAGCAGCAGCAGTGGTCACAGCAGCAACAGCTCGTTGCAGCTGCCCCGCTTTTGCAGCTTCAGGAACAGCTACGGCAGCAACTACACTTACAGTCAAGCGAGCTACAGCAACAAGAGCTGCAGCAGCAGCAGCAACAGCAACGTGGGCTTTTGCAGCAGCAAATAAGGTACCCCTCTCCACTTGTACAGGAGCAACAGCAGCAGCAGCAATTACGGTACCCCTCTCCACTTGTACAGGAGCAACAGCAGCAGCAGCAGCAGCAGCAGCAATTACGGTACTCATCTCCATGTGTGCAGGAGCAACAACAGCAGCAGCTACAGCATCAAGACCTGCAGCAGCAGCAGCAGCAGCAGCAGCAACAACAACAGCAGTGGTCACAGCAGCAGGATTATCAGGAGCAGCAGCAGCGGCTTCAGCTGGCCCAGTGGCAAATTGCCCAAGCAGAGCTGCAAACGCAGCTGCAAGCATTGGAGCAACTCGTTGCTTCGGGCCAAACCTCCGCCGCAGCCTCGGCCCAAGCCGCAGCCTTGGTCCAAGCCGCAAGGCTTGAATCGCAGCTTAAAGCTGCCCAAATCGAATATCAGCTGCAGAATTGTGCAGGTTCAGGACAGATCGACAATTCTTTTGCTGTAGCATCAGCTCAAGCCCAAGCCTCCCCAGTACGGCTTCGGGAATCGCTGCTCAAGGCGCAGCAGGATAGGTTCGGAAATTTTGAGAACCCCTCGCCGCCGAACCTCCCACTTCCGAACCTCCGTCCCAGCTCTGGTCCAAACGCCAGGCCATGGTTCGCGCATCCTCAGGCTCGGACCGAGCTCGAAGGGCCTATTTATGGGCCACCAGGGGGTTCTGCAGGGCGTGACACGTGGCAGCAGTGCAGCGCGCCAGGTGGCTCCACGTCAGCATCACCATCAGCAGCTGCGGCTGCCATTGCTGCTGCTAGAGCAGCGAGTGCCCGTAAATCCCGAGGGTACGGGCAAGCAGGAAGGAGCCCCGGATTAGCTTATAACGGATCCTCTAGAGGCTCACCTAAAAAGGGTGGCAGGGGGGGCAAAGGGTTTCCTTACAACAGCACAGCAAGCAGCAGTGGTCCCGTGGTTTCGTATCCGCCTTTCTCTCCTAGAGCTGTTTTAGATTCGTCTCGCGCTATAGCTCGTAACGAGTCTGCTCTTAGCGATGCATCAAGTGAGGGCAGCAGCGGGGTGGACGCACAAGGGGCTCACTTATTGGAGCTGACGTGCGGGTGGCAGGATTTGTCTCATATCCCGAATGTACAGGTAACAGGGGGTGTGAGCCGCCCAGCTGTATGCTCTGTGAAGGAGAGGGATGATGAGGAGGCTTTGCCATCACAAGAAGAGCTAGATACAGCCATGTGCTGAGGCAGGTATATTGTGCGTGCACTGGTATGCATACGCTAAGGCTCATTCCCTCGGGCAGGCATCAAGATATGGGGGAGGGGGGCGGGGTGCTACCATCACAGGATTAGTTTGATGCAGCCTTCAAGGGGGTGCAAGTGCTTGTGCCCCGTGCTTTCAGGGAAAGCTTCCCTTTCTACCCTCATTCAATGGGCAGTTTTCTTTATTTCACTCGTTGTGAAGCCACTGCAATGGGCTTATTCTCCCCTCATGGGCTATTGTGGTTATAGTGCTACGGGTATTTTGGTGCAATTGCATCCTTCACCGGGGTTGGCTTAGATTTGCTTATTGATCTTTTGATGACGATGCATGATATTGCTGTACCGGTATATACTGTATGATAATGAGTATTTATAGAAATAATGGACCCCATGCTTTAAACCTGAAGTAATAGTACGGTATACTAACTGGAAAACACTTGACCCAAGGCAAACACAGATTCATTTCACAAGTTCAGAATTCCCATTGGTCGGCACACACAAGAATATTTGGAGTTTACGTGACCTTGCAAATCGTAATTTGCTCGCTCGTCTACACTTGTTACAGCGATAAGGAACTTGATGTGCTGTCAAATGGATGAAGAACTTGCTCGGAAGTCGAGGCATCCACCATGATGACGTGCTTGTGGTCAGCTCTCAGCCAAGCCGAACGTGCGAGATGCGTCAAACCTGGCGGCAACATGGATCCCGCCAAGGCTTCGAGCTGGTTGTCAGGTGTTGTCCCGCCTTGGCGAAGAATCCGAAGTAACGGTCGGGTAGTGGCGACAGGGTACGAAATCTGGTTTCCAGCAACAGGGTTACCCTGCAGCGACACACAGCAACGGAGCTACCACCTGCTTGACGGAAGCGGCGACGGAATTCGTTTTCTGTCAAAAGCATCTCCGAACCAACACACCACCCCCCCCAACCAGAACAGCCGCGAATGGGAACCATTGTGCCGATACATGATTCGCCAATAGCGCCGCTTTCCTTGGGATTTCAGGCGTGTTACAAAACCCTACGGGAAGTCACAGACTTGTAACCGCTACATACCCTCATGAATATTCTGAAGAATGGCTGCCTGCTCGTCCCTGCTCTCCACCCCTCCCTCTCCTGCTCTTCTGTTTCTGGTCAGCTTTCTTTCTGCTCGTGCTGCTGTTTGTGCACTGTTCCTCTCCAGGCAGTTCGGACATCGATGCTTGGATTGGGATGGGATGTGCTTCACCGAGCAGACCCCTGAAGCGGCATGTTATCATAGGCCTTAGGAACCAGATTGTAACTCAAGCACCGTTTCAAAACCGGAGCTCTTAGCGCGTGTCTTAATTTTTAATTCGTTCATTTGTGTCGTGCTCCCTAACGTGGGCTTGCTGCTGACGTGACCTGTTCGTTCCAAATGGCTGAGCGGGCAGTGCCAAGTAGATGTAAGACCGAAGGGAAGAATACCACGGAACGCGTTAGGGTTACGGTCTGGTGGCCAGTACAAGTGCCGCTGGAAGGCGAGCGTCAACGGTTACTAGGATGGATCGAGTCAGCCGACGTTGGCGAAACTCGCGAAGTCAATGTCATCGTCGCAGCTGCAACTCCACCATGCTCGGGTCGCATTGACGAAGCTAAAAAAGACATCGACCCGTGCAACGGTCACAAGGAGTCCTTCAGCATTTCCCAAGATAACTCCAAGGCTCCGTCAACAATTCCAAATGACAACCCCAGCGCTCCTTCAAACGGGGTTGCGCCTACAAACGGTCATGAAAACAGTCAGAAACCCAATCTTTCTCCCGTTCACTGCTATCAGGAGAGTTCTATCGAGGAGCCTGACCGAGCCTGTGTCGTCGCTGAATGCTCCGTTCTTCCAGAACATTCCAATCACTCCTTCTCGTCTTTCTTCAGCCGGTTCTCCTCCGGAGCAAGCTCGCCTAAGGCATCAAGCTGCTCGTCCCCTCGCTGCTCGTCGCCTCGCTCGTCATGGAGTTTCTCTGCTGATTCGGATCGTTCTGAGGACTTCGAGTCGTTGAATAACGACAAGAATGAGACCGTGCGAGATCCGAGTCAAGATAGTCAGGGTAACAGATCGGGTTTCTCGTCGAAGGTGCCGTTTACGTTGTTGTGGCGACGAAGATGGCAGCAGCAGCGACAATCGCCAGCTTCGCCAACGTCGCCGTCAGGCTCGTCTGGGGCAGGAGAGTCGCCGGAGGTGGGATCGGGTCCCTCTGTACGCGGTAAAGGAGCTGCGATACTAGACTGGTGGCGAAACGTGGAGCTGATTGGAATGCGTATGAACGTCGATGGGTCCAGCAACAATTCGGACGGCGAAGTTTCGAAGCTACCGGGGGGTGCAAGGTATCCCTGTCTCTTTTCATAGGGGAACCTGAACTATGCCTAAACATGGCAATGAGAGCTTTTTTAAAATCCTCCTCTCTTCGTCCTTTCTCTCTCTCTGTCTCTTTCTGTCTCTCTTTCTTGCGGGGGTATGCAGCAGACTTCTTCTATATACACCTCTCCGCTACAAGCCCTGCATTTTCCCTGCCATTAGGACGCCTGTCCTGAAGAACGTTAACGCTGCATGCTTTCTCCTCCTCCTGTGTGCAGCGGCACTGGGACTCCAGGCATTGTTTCCGAGAAACCTGCCGGCGCAGCTGCGGAGTCAGTCAATGAAACCAGTGAAGCCGGTCAGTCGGATCAGGGATCGAAACCGGTACCAGAAGCGGCCGCAGGGGAGCAGGCCGACATGGCACCTGTCGGCCATCCGGTTTCCGCTCAGGTGCGCGCATTGTCCTGCTCTAGTGCGCGTAGTGTCCCGCTCTGGTGCGCACAGTGTCCCGCTCAGGTGCGGACGGTGGCCCCCTCAGGTACATACAGTGTCCGCTCAGGTGCGCGCAGTGGCCCGCTCAGGTGTGCGCATTGTCCCGCTCTGGTGCCCGCGGTGTCCCGCTTAGGGCGCTGCAGCTCAAATGCGCGCAATGTTCGCTCAGATGCGCGCTGCTCAGTTGCGCGCGTGTCCGCTCAGGGGCACGAAGTGTATACGCGTAGATCAGCCGACCTACTCCGGCCATTGTCAATTCCAACCATCCCTTCTCTGACGAACCACCCACACCTTTGTTTCCCTCCCTCATTCCACTCCCCTCTGCAGGTCGTTTTTTACGACCAGCCAACCTTCCCCGGCCATTTCTACGTGGCGGATTGTCGCAGGTGGATGAGCGTGGTGCGCGGAGGAGTAGAGGACGGTTCAGATGGGTCGGAAGGGCTAGACGAGGAAGGACTGGGAGGTCCGGGTGGCAAGGGATCGGAGAAGTTGGCAGCGAACGCAGCGAGTGCTGCGAATGATGTGGTTACCAATTCGCCGAACGAGGCGGGGCGGGTGGGCGTGTGGCTGCGGTCATTCTGGGCCACCTCGGGGCACATCGAACCCCCCAGAACGCAGAGAGCCAAGTCCCGCGGATACGTGAGTGCAGAGCGGTGGAGCGTCATTCTGTAGGATTGCAGAGTGGTGGTGAGGCATAGGGGGTGGTAGGGCGGGGTGGGGCGGTTGGGCGTGTGGCTGCAGTTGTTCTGGGCCACGTCGGGGTCCATAGATGCGCCCAGGTTGCAGAGCTTCAAGTCCCGCGGATATGTGTGTGTGTGGTGGAGGGAAAGCTGCTAGCATGGGGTTGCTTGGAGAGTGATGAAGCGTGTAAGTAGGCCCGCTCTTTATTTTTGTTTAACTCACAAGCATGTGTTTCTTCTTGTTCACCATCCCTGCTCCCTTCTCCCACAGAGCGTTCCCTTCCACAAGCTTAACATGGCTCACGCCCTCGCAACCCCCGCTACATCCTTTTCCACCAGCCTAGTTAACTCACAAGCCTCTAATTCCCTCCTGTTCACTCCCCTTGCCCCCTATCACTCCCACAGAGCGTTCCCTTCCACAAGCTCAACATGGCTCACGCCCTCGCTACTGCCTCGACATCCCTCGCAACCGCTTCAAACACCCTCGGATCTGCCACCACCTCTATAGGAACCTCTATCAGCACTACGACCTCTCGCACTCTGGATAGCTGCAGACGCGGCGCTACAGCCACTGCCTCTGCTGCCGCTGCTACAGCCGCTACAGCCGCCAATGCTGCTGCTGCTACAGCCGCTACAGCTGCCAATGCTGCTGCTGCTGCAACAGCTGCAACTGCTGCCACCGCAGCTACTGCCGCCAGTGCAGCGGCTGCTGCTACAGCCGCCACGGCTGCCACTGCAGCAACAGCGGCTACAGCCGCTGCTGCCGCTACAGCCGCGACAGCTGCTGCTACAGCTGCGACGGCGGCAACGGCAGCGTCAGCAGCGGCTGCTGCAACTGCAGCGACAGCTGCTACAGCTGCAAGCGCGGCGGCGGCTGCTGGGGGGTCGATTCCGGGCGCTATTAGGGGTTCGCCTGCTGTCATCTCTACTGCTCTTGCGGTAAGTGTGGGTATGGGAAGTGGGAGAACGTGAGTTTTGAGTGGGTTTTAAAAGCTGCTGAGGAGTGATTTCTGATGGTGATCCTAAGGGGTGGTCTGCTGTGATTTCCACTGCTCTTGCAGTGAGTCAAGTGCAGTTCTGTGATTTCCTCCTCCTTTTCTCTCCCTCTCCCTTCCTCTCACGCTCCCCCACTTCCCCCTCCAGCGCATGTTCTTCCTTGGGAAAGCATCACCGAAGCCCAGCAAGGATGCTGACTCTGGTGCAGACACAGAACTTGTAGCAGCAACGGAACCCCCCAGCCTTATTCTCGACGGCTCGCCTATCGACGTCAACTCAGCTTTCGACATGAATCCAGCTGTTGGCGTCAACTCAGCAGGCGAAACAGCAGGAGAGAACATGCAAGGCATGAGCACGCAAGGCAAGAGCATGCAAGACATCCCTGGAAAGGCCACCCCAGCCCAACCAGGGGCGTCACAGGGGGAGCTGATTCAGGGAGGGTTGGGCCAGGGGAAGGCAGAACCGGGGCAGGTTGCAACTGGTCCAGATTCGCTGCACCAGCAGCTTCTGGGGACTACTTTGCAGGAGAGTGTGAAGCAGGCTGAGGCAGTGGAGGGTTTGGCAGGGGCAGAGGCAGGTGTAGCCATCGTAGAACCTTAAAGAGAGGGCGGCTTTATGGGGTGCGGTTTTGGGGCTGAAAGGCGGGGATGCTAAACAGGAGGTGATTCTAGAGGGAGAGATTGTAGAGGAGGGCGAGGATCCTGCAGCGCTGAATTCTGTGGGGCATGTTGGGCGGCTGAGTTTGGCTGTAGCGGCTCAGGTTGCTGCTGCGCCCGTGGCGCTGCTGCTGCTGTTGCAGGAAGCCGGGGTGGTTACCATATCGTTGGTTACATCCACTGGCCGGGCGGCGACTGCTGCTCTGAAGAGCAACTCTGCCACGTGGCAGTGCATGATTCGCAGGCAGCGGCTGATCGCGTCCCTCCGTGCTGCCCTCCAATCAGCGTCCTTGTTTTCAAACGAGGGCGTTTCTTCAGAAGGGCAGGTTAATCGGTCGACTTCATTACTATCACACCACTCGGCTACTGCAGTAGGAGCAGAAAAAGCAGCAGCAGGTGGTGTTGCTGCCCCTGCTACAGCCACTCGCAGTGATCCCTTCGATTTGTCCACTCAGCCAGTAAAGGGCGCGCCCTTGAAAGCATCCCTACCCTCAGCCTCGCACCCTCCTGAGACGTTTCCCTTAGACCCTGCAAAACCGACTCACCTTCCTCCTGAGATCCCCAACTCTGCCCGAAACACACCCGGGAAACCCAAACTTCCCCTTTATTCTTCTATGGACCTTCACATCGCGCAGCACCGCATTGCATCCCCACTCACCTCGCTCTTGCTCGACCATACTCTCGGGCTGCTCTTCTCCTTCCTCCTCCTCTTCTTCTTCCGATCCGTCTCCTCTGCCCTTTCCACCGTTTTCCACGTCCTGACCAATCACGTCCTTCGGACCAGCATAGTGCTATTGATTTCCCAGCCCATCGGACTTAAGCTCAACGACGAGCTCACAGCTGCGTTCGGCGCCCTATCCTGGCAGGCGCTGCAGGCTTGGGCTAGCTTCGGCAGCGCGTACGGCTCGGTGCTGCCGTACCTGGCTCTGCTGACGGTTGGTTCGGCGGGCCTGTTCCTGGGGATGTCGGCTGCAGTGGGGGTTATAGCTGACTTGGTGCTGCTGTCGAACCTCCAGCTGGCGCTCGTTCATTGGTGCCTGGCGCCCATGTATCGCATGCAGCTCAACGCTGTCATTGCCCTCTGGCGCCTCTTCAAGTGAGTCTACTTTCATTGCAGTCAAGTGAAATTATAGGGAGGGGAGAGGGGGGTGGGAGAGTGCGAAAGGAGGGTCGGACTTGGTTGTGCTTTGCCTTGTGGTGCCTGGCGCCAATGTATTGCATGCAGCTCAACGCTGTCATTGCCCTCTGGCGCCTCTTCAAGTGAGTCTTCAATGCCCTGGCAATATATATGGGAGTGGGGGAGGAAGGTGGGACTTGGTTGGGCTGTGCATCTTTGTGCTTGGCGCCCATGTATTGCATGCAGCTGAATGCATGCATTGCCCTCTGGCGCCTCTTCAAGTGAGTCTAACTCTTCTTCACCATCCTCTTCCTCCTCCTCAACCTCATTGATCTCCTTCCCCTCCCCTGCTGAACACCCTACTCGTTCCCTTGCCTCTCCTTTCCTCCCTCACGCTCCCCGCATTCTCGCCCTCCCACCCTTTCCCCCTTCTTCCCCCCCTCTTCCCCCCTCCCCCTCCTGGCCCCCTGGCAGTGGTCTCAAGTGGATCCCCCTGCACAAGCGCATAGACTCTAAGGAATGCACACTCGGGCAGCTCTCCCTCACCCACATCCCCCACTTTCCCCTCCATTTACCTTCCCATCCCTTCCCTTTCCCCTCCCTCAACACTTTCCTCCACCATCAGTGGCCTCAAATGGAACCCCTTACACAAGCGCATAGACTCGGTCGAATGCACTCTCGGGCAACTCACCCTTGGCTCGCTCCTCTTCACCATCCTCACCCTCCTCCTCCCCACCACCGCCATCTTCCACATCCTCTTCGCCTCGCTCTGCCTTGCGATCTCGGCTGTCCGTTCTGCCCTGCAAGCCGCTGCCTCTCTGCTGCTGTCTTTCCCGCTGTATCTGCTGCTGGTGAGGCTGTATCGGCCTGATCAGGTTCCTGGTGGGGTTTGGCTGGAGTTTGTGGGAGGGGGAGGGAGAGGAAGGAGAGTGGGTGGAAGGGGAAGGGACGGAAGAGGAGTAGCGGGAGGAAAGAGTGAAGTGGGCGGAGAGGAGAAAGGAGGGAGGCGGAGGCATGGGGCAGATGTGGGACCGGCTCGAGAACTCGTACAAAACGACGGGGGATGTGGGTTGAGAGAGAGTGGGGGATTGGAAGGGAGGGAGGAAGCTGAGTTGGCATGGGGAGGTGGAGAGCGAGAGAGGGGTGGGGCATCCTGTGGTAGTGAAGACCGGTGTAGCAGTGGGTGTGGGCCTGCTAGAAATGATTGTGACAGTACCAGCCTCAGCAGAAGCAGTACCCGCGATGGGAGTGGGGGAGCATCAACCCTCAGTGGCGACACAGTTGCTGCCTCTGGGAAGAACAGACGGAGAAGCAGCAGCAGGAGCAGCAGGAGCATCTGTGCCAGCTGTGCGAGGCAAAGGAATGATGGAAGCAGCACTAGCAGCAGCGGCAACTCAAACAACAGCAGTAGCAACGGCTACAGCTCCAATGGTGGCAGTAACGGTGGGAGCACTAACAGCTGTGGCAGCGGCAGCAGCAGCGGCGACAGTGGCAGCGGCAACAGCAGTGGCAGTGACAGCAGCGTTGGCAGTGGCAGCACGTTCAGAGTGTACAGTGTGGAGGGGAGTCCTCATCTTTTCCTTCATTCCTTCCCTGTATCGTTCTGGGACGTGTTGAGCCGAGTGCATGTGTTTCCTCGCAAGGTGAAATCAAAGGCGTAGAGAGCAGAGATTATGGTGCCATGTAGCAGTGTAACGTATTTTAGACATGTGCGGTAATAGTTATGCCAACATTATGCAGTTGTTTGGATGTACGATAGAAATGTGTGATGTATTTGTTTATTCGGTATCTTTCTCTGGTTGTTTGTGAGTAATCAAGCAGAGTGCACGGAACTAGAATAAATTGCGAAGCTGTGGCACTGATGCGACGATACGGTAGTACAATTGGGTGAGCGCACTCAGCGGGTGGGTGAAAAAAGGACACGGACGCTTTTCCATAAACATACTATTGTGTGGACACTACATTAGTTCTCGACCAAGCCATTCTCCTAACTGGTACCGTAAGCCCCCGTATATAGGACCCCCCCCAAGTTGTAGACCCCCGGGTCCATAATACGGACCCGGGTACACACAACCCTCGCTAATTTCTGTCAGAATCCCAGTCACTAACCACTGGGATAAAAGGGCTTGTTTATATAGCGGGTGAGTGCGCCCATAACCCCCCAGGCCGACGTGCCTGTAACCCTTCCCTAGGATCATCGGGGATCCCCAGTGGACCTCTGACACCCCCCCGCACTGGGATGCCCGAAGTGCACACACCGGGAATCGAACCCGAGACCTTCGCTCTGATACCATGTCAGAATCCCAGTCACTAACCACTGGGATAAAAGGGCTTGTTTATATAGCGGGTGAGTGCGCCCATAACCCCCCAGGCCGACGTGCCTGTAACCCTTCCCTAGGATCATCGGGGATCCCCAGTGGACCTCTGACAATTTCAACAGCCGAAAATGGACGCTTGTGGGTAGCTACCCTGTTTCTTTCTGTGTCGGAGGGTGATACAGAGTGGTATTTGTTTTAAAGTGGGTAGTTCTTCGGACTCTTTCGAGTAGGATGAAACAAGGGTTGTCGCTACTGGAAACATTGCTCGCAAGTGGAAGGTGAGCCTGATCCACTGTAGGTTTTTTTTTTTTTTTTTTTTTTTAAGTACCAATCAGGAGAGCATGGCACTATCCTCTCGATTCGGGATGTCTGAGACGTGGAGCCGATTCTGGTCTAGGGTGGCTCCAAAAAAACATCTCGGCCGTTGAAATTAGCGAGGGCTAGGTGTACTCTATTCCAGT